CCAGTCCTGGGCTATTGGCCACGTAGCCGTAGCAAGTTACGCTGGTGCTCAAAATTCGTTTAGTGATGCTCCATACCTTCCAGTCGAAGTGTATAAATATGAGTACACCATCGTGCCATCCAATTAAGCAGCTGCAATGAAAAGAAAGAATGTACAAAGCACGTTATCAATATAGTGAATTCCCATCATTACACTTGTACTTTGGACTTCTGTCATGAAAAGAACTCTTCCTCTCCTCTCCTCCATGCGCTCTCACAGCCGACTCACTGCTACCCTCGGTAGCCATTACACACACCAACCAAGGAAGGGTTGCAGGTAGATACTGAAATTCCTCCTGACAGCTGTTTCGCCTTCATAAGGCTCATCAGAGAAGGTGATATTGAATAGGATGATATTAGGTGGAGATGGTCAGATTTATACTACAAAACATGGGCGCAAGATAACGGGCAAAGTGTGAGAATGAGAATTTACAATTCTCCAGCAACACCGTGCCAGGGGTTCCAAGAAAATGGCAGGTGAGTAATCCAATCACAAGCTGCTAACCTCTCCAGCAACACAGTGCCAGGGGTTCCAAGAAAATGAGCGCATGGAGGAGAGGAGAGGAAGAGTTCTTTACATTTTATTGGCCGAATAGTACCGTTCACCATTTGAAATAATTTCTGTCATGAAAGTAGATAAAAGTCTTTTTAAACCCATCAGACAAAATACACAAACACACTGAGTGTGCACTCAGCAGTCTTCACCTTTATTATTCTCCAATTCTTTCCTACATGTACACAATAAATTCGTCGCATGCCGACAGGTGTGATAGGTTGTGCTAACCTTGTTGGTGATCCTAGGTTGAACAAGTGAAATGTGGGTCCAGAGCTTGGGGAGGCGGCTCAGCTTACGCCATTTCTTACAGACAGCACCGACGCGGAACAGATCAGCCGTACCAAGGTACTTGAAGACATCAACACACGCCTGCTCTTCCTCGGTAAGATAGTCCATCAATTTGTCACCATCCTTGTCCTGAAGACCCGAAAGGTGTAGCAGCTGTTCATTCGACAGTGCATCGATGCCCACTGCAGTGCGAGGCAGAAAATCAACACATCATCAATTTTATCATGTGTTATCGGTCAGGACAGTGAAAATAGTATCAGAGAAGTAGGGCAGAGGTGGAGATTAAGACAAACAGAGAGGGAGAGAGAGAGAGAGAGAGAGAGAGAGAGAGAGAGAGAGAGAGAGAGAGAGAGAGAGAGAGAGAGAGAGAGAAGAGAAGAGAAGAGGAGAGAGAGATATATCGGAATAAATACACACCACACTAGATTGAGCCAAATAGAGTATTTTATATGCAGTCAAAATGGTAGTTCTGTAGCCATTTTGGGTTCCATTGTGATACAACATTGTAGTTTATAAAAGATGTTAAGGGTAGAGGTGCCTCCAAACCAGCAGAGTACAGGTTCACGGATGCGCAGACAAGAAATGTATCCTTGGCCAGTCCCAGCCCTGGGAATGAGTGATGTATCCAGGAGCGCATTCGCTGCAAACATACTCGGCATAAGCAGACACATCTGAAAGGGTTACGACCGCCGCACCCAGAATTGCTTACTGCGTCAGACTTTTAGCCAATCTCCCAGAACTGCTGAAGGCTTTCACCACTTGAACTCCACCTGTATTGCACCTTGGTAAGACCCTCAGCACCATAACCCCACTATAGAACTGAAATACAAAATGCTGCACATCAAACATACCCTCATTTGTTTCACTGTCACTGTCACTATCAGCAGAGTCATGGTCGATGGCTTCCGGGGAAACATGCTGCGATACATTGAAGACGGCCACAAGCTCATCTGGAAGTTTGGTGTCGAGCGGAAAGGACGCTGAGAGGCTCGTTGAGCCTTTTCGCATTGATTCTTTTCTCGCTGTCGGCGATTGGGCCTGAAGCTTTTCAATCTGCTGCTCCATGTGGGAGATGTAGTTCCTTAGCTCGTCGCGTGCGACTTCCTGCCGCTTGGCTTGGAGTGCGAGGAATTGATTGAGTTGCTGGGCACTCCTGTACACATGATCAGTGTGATGGTAAACACTAGTGTTGAAACGAATAATCGAATAATCGAATAATTTAGAATATTCGTGGGGTGAACGAATAATCGAATAGTCGTAGGAATTATCAGAAATCGAAAAAAAACAAAAAAAACAAAAAAACCCATCTATGCTCAGTGCTGACCCTACTGATATTTGCACTGCGTAGATCTGCTCGTATTATTTCTTCTCAATCTCTTCTCGTCCAAGTTTTAATCTCCTATCGGTATCTAGTAATACTTCTGTTCTTTCCATACGAGGGAAACATGGATGCAGTGAAGATCCAGTTACGCTCGACCAAGACCCTATGCAGAGCTGGATCAGGCGTTGCACACTCTGGGGGTTATCAGGTTAACAAAAATCCGATAATCAGCAAAAAAAATTTAACTGCTTAAAAAGTGCTACAAAAGTGTTGAAAAATGCCATCATGCGTATGATAGAATATAGATTATTCGTTCGATGGAGGACGAAATTATTCGATAGATTATTCGTTCGAAGAATCCGTGTTCGGTTTAAACACTAGTAAACACAGTGAACAGAAGCATAGTGGCCGTGGCTACACATAAAAACAGGCTGCACGTCCAGTGGGCTGTCTCAGTCATAGCCACTGCTGGTATGCCTCAATATTATTGATGCTGGAAAACTGTGACTGTGACTGCAAAAAAAGCGTTAAGCCGATAAGGCATCAAGCATGTGATCAATTCAGTATGAGAAAACCTGCATAATTATTATACCCGTAGAGATCGGTCACCTCGATCAGGGCCCTCAAACCCAACATACACGTTGGGCCTGTACACAAAGACCACCTTTCTCTAACGACCGACGTGTGTCACTGGTGTGTGTCCCGTGGGCTGACTGTGACTGTAGAGCATGTGAGGTTCCACTGAATTGAGTGCCGGGTTACCATGGTTACACTATATGTAGGTGCTGATGACAGTGAAATCCAACCTCATGCCAGCCACTACTCAGTACATACACCGGGAGCACTGGATTCTGATCATGCGGGAGCAGCTGATTGATTCTATTCAGAACCCTGGTACAAGCATGACAAAGCGAGATATCCATCCCCGATTATGCCTGGAGATGATCGTGTGAATGCGTTGCCACCTGTGTTTAGTGAGCTGTGCATGGCATAGTGCTATAGCACCGTGCGACTCTTATACCGTGCAAAGCAGAGGTCTTTTCAAAGCCTCCCTCTCGAGCATGTATTCGCAGGTCATGCAAACTACAAGCAATGTGGAATTATGGTCTGCGACCCTTTCTTAAACTTCCCATAGAAATACACAACAATATCGGATTGTAACGGATACTATCCAATGATGCTTGCGCCAACCCTATTCCTGCAAGTGCTGTCCATGCAATCTACCCAATGAGTTCTATGCTTGCCGAGCCTAATGACCGGAGAGATTTAAAATTTTCAAAATCCCCACCTGTCCTTCTCCACTAGTTCAGCCTTGAGGACGCCGACCACCTCTGCATTCTTATCGGCTTGTCCGGCAAGGTCCGTAGCTGCCTGCTGTAGCCGTGTGCACTCCAGTTGTAGCGTTCTGCAATGCCCCTGTACGACCTCTAGCTCTGACTCCCTCCTTCGGTCGGAAGCCTTCACAGCCAAAAGTTCCTCACTGAGCTTGCTGCACTGGCCCACTAGCTCCATGTCCACGCCAGCCACTTCTCCGCGGACAAGGCTCAGTCGCATGCTGCGCACATCGTCGTGTGCTTTCTGCATGGCGTCCACGGCCGTCCAATACTGCTGCTTGCTGCGCAGCAGCTCGGCCGACAAGCGCTTCGCTGCCGACTCGGAGCTCTCACGGCTGCGATCCACCAATGCTGCGCTGGCGTGTGTACGACGAAGGTGGTCCTCCAAGGACTGGGCGCGCTCCACCAGGCCGTCCAACGTCGAGCAATTGTGTTGCGACGTCTGGCTGGCTCGGCCACTGTCGAGACCAGCCATGCTTGCTCGCCCTGAGCTAGTGCTGCCTGCTTCAGAACAATCCTGCACATCGTCAACGGAACCATTTGGAACATCGTCACCAGGATACAAGGCCTCTTCTGTAGTAACTGCTTGGCCTAGCGAGCCAATTTTGTGGTGGCTTGCTAGGTGACGCTTGAGCTCATTCATGCTGCGGAAACTAACTACTCGCCCTGCACTTTCTCCAAGTCTTTCTTGCCCAAACTTACTCCCATTTTGCTGTAGCGTAGGCAGTGAGTTTGAGCTTGAGGGCTGACATTGGGGACACTTGAAGAGATTCCCTGTCCGATATGCAGCCCCGGCGTCCATACCGCTCTCACTGTCACGCTCTCAATGTGCCGCCGCGTGTGAACACACTTCGAAGCCGGCTTTATATTCCCCACTCCTCACGCACGGGATAGGACGTTAGGAGAGCGGGGTGATCGTGACAGTGTCGCACATGTACTCTGCATGAGACTGAGTGACTTCTTCTTCTTTCCAAAAGAAACGCCGAAGGCGAAGACTTCAACTAATTCAAATACACGTGCAGAGTGCAGAAATACTGACCCGTAGACCCAGGTGCTCGAAGTCCGTACATGGTATCCTAAGTTCGTACGCCCATAATTTCATGTTCTGTTATTGTATTCGACTCAAATATTTTATGGAGGGGACAGTGTGGTATGTTCTCCTCGCGTACCAATTTTCAGGGATCTACGATAAGCAGAAGTCCCATACCACGGGATCGGGCCCGGGAGTGGGTTTTCGAGTGTCCATACGAATACAAATTGGGTTACATTTCATGCAAAAATCAACTTTGCCAAGACCGATTTCGAACGGACACAGCGTCAAACAGACCTTCACTCAATCATCAAGAGCCAGCTTAGAGCAGACAATGGCCAGAGGAGAAGAATTTACAGAGAACCAACAATCCTTGCAGAAAGGTTGACACTCCTGGCATCTCCACCACTGTTTTCCCGCGGTTTTCACAGCGCAGCTGCTTCTTCTCTGAGCCGACTAAAAACAGCTTGCATTGCGGCAACAAACTACGCTTTTGCAAGAAATACTGGTGGAGGCACATGCCAAACATATCCCTTCGGTACTTTCGTCGTAACCGAGGGATTGCAAGTTAGCAATTAGCAGAAATATGTGTGTATTTCGAGTCACCTCTGATCAGTACGGACTTAGAGTACCCTCTGCGACACCAAAATTTGATATGAAAAATGAGCGAACTCCAGAGAAACAGATCGGATCGAAAGATGGCCTGGTTCAATCGAGCCTGGCCTCAGAACAAACTTGGACAAGATACCTTCCATCCACGAGCAGGATTCTGGCAAGTGATCATTGCTAGCGTGAGTTTCAGCTCGGCAAACACACACTGTAAAAGTGTACGGACTTCGAGCACCTGGGTCTACCCGGCCGACTACGGCCCCGACCCCGTGCATGCACGACGTGACGTGGCCTGGTTGGAGTTTCGAGGAGCTTCGTTTTTCCGAAGAGGCCAATAAGGCCACCTCTTCAGAAAAACGAATCTCCTCGAAACTTTTGAAGTGAAAGAGCGAACGCGGCGGGGGGGGGGGGGGGGGAGGTTACTGCTAATACTGGGGAGTACATGTACTAGGCCAGTTGTTGTCAACACGTAGCTAGGTACGGAATGTTGCTATGACTGCTCGCGCGAAAATTCATTCCAAAAATATGGCGCGAGTCGGCACACATGTATGTCGCACTGCGTAGATCTACTGCACCGCGCGCTCGCGCTAGGCCTTTCGAGTCCACGGCCACACCGCTGATCCACCTACGCGCACTTCGCTTGCCACATTTGCAGACTCCCTAGCTCGATGTCGAATGAAAGAGTTGAAACGAGGTTTGAAAAATCATTGTGTTCAAGGTGTTGGGCTCGTGGTGGATAGGACACGAAGTTCGTCGTCGCAAATTTCAGCCTCCACTGTTGACGAAGAAGTCCTTTCCTATCTCCTCCTCATTCTTAGTAACGAGGTGAAACTCAGCTGAAATGAAGTACATTCTTGTTACAGGCGGCGTCATCAGTGGCGTTGGAAAGGGCATCATTGCCAGCAGTCTTGGAACCATTTTGAAATCATGTGGCATGCGAGTCACCTCGATCAAGATTGATCCTTACCTGAACATCGATGCCGGAACATTTTCTCCATACGAGCATGGTAAGACAAAGCTTCTTTTTGGCATGTTCTTCACAAATCAGGTTTCCTTCCATCTTGCTATTTCGGATCAAACTCTCTCTACATTCTTTTTCCACGTGTATCTGCTTTTGCTCAGGTGAGGTTTTTGTTTTGGATGATGGCGGCGAAGTCGACTTGGATTTGGGAAATTATGAGCGCTTCTTGGATGTTACCCTGCATCGTGATAATAACATTACGACGGGAAAGATCTACAGAGATGTGATTGAGAAAGAAAGAAAGGGTGACTACTTGGGGAAAACTGTCCAAGGTAGGTTCGATTTCGCCGCAACTATTACTTGCTACGATATGTTTGCATTTTGAAGCTCTCCAAGACTCCAACAAGTGCTGGGCATTTTTACTACCCAATTATTGCGTAGATTATGATTGTATGTTCAGCAAAATCAATCGGATCATAGCTCGTACTTGTATTAGTTTCTTGTTCTCTTTGAAAGGTGTGATTCGACTCAATTTTGAGTGATTCTTGAGCTGCTCGTAGTGCCAATATTTGTTGCTTTGAGCGAATTGTGTGATGTCACTGCATTTACACTGTGATCATAAGTGGAAAGTTCGAAATATATCTGTCCGTTTTAATAGGTACATGTATTGATAAGAACTCTTTGAGTTTGGCTGCATTAGAGAGGAGAGGCTCAGATTGGGGGTTGCTGAATAAGAAATTCTTTCCTGTTGTGGTAAACTAATTTTTTTAGTTTAGTCGGTTTTTTTCGGGTTTTTTTCGGGTTTTTTGTCATGAATGCCAATGCAAGCCAATTCTTCATGTAGTCGCAATCATAGCACCTTGTGACTCTCAAGTGTCTGAATTCATGTGTGTGTTCTGCATTGTTCCCATTTCAGGATGGAAAAACCATGTCATTTGCTAAATCCCTTGCATTCTGGTATTTTTTTTCGTCCTTTGGCTCAGTTGTGCCCCACATCACAGACGCTATCCAAGAGTGGATTATCCGAGTGGCCAAAGTACCAGTCGATGGAAATGAGGATGAGCCAGAAGTCTGCATTATCGAAGTACGTGAGCTATCAAGCAGGTGCTGATTGTGTTGTCCTTACCCCATAGTTCCGGACTCAATTGTGAGGTCTGTCTCTGTCACCTGGGTATGACTGTGACCCAACGTGAGCTCTAGACTTTCTTCGATGCATCTCAACACATGTAATGCTGATTGAGATCAGCTGATTTAGAAGTGACACTCGCACCGCATGTAGCATGATTCCTGAATGGTGGCATTCTTGCTGTCTCAAGTTTGTTGTTTTTCGAGTACATTTGCTTGTGGGGTCAGCGTGATTACTTTCGTTTCTTGCTCTGGTAGCTGTGCCCTTCTCATTTATGTTGTGTTCTTTGTACTCGCCCGCCCGTAGCTCGGAGGGACTATTGGTGACATCGAAGGAATGCCCTTCGTTGAAGCGTTCCGTCAGTTCCAGTTTCGCGTTGGCCCAGAAAACTTCCTGGTGTGCCATGTCAGCCTTGTACCACAGGTGGGTCCCTTGTTTGTGTGTACATATGGCTTGTTCAGCCATATAATATTATTAATTTATGCTACAGGGGTGGCGGAACCGGTGCGGCAGGTGTAGCCAAAGCCGCGCCAACAATGTTTCATCTTGTGATTTTTTTTGAAGCAATAAAATATGGACTATCTGGAGTTTCTGGACCCAATTTACCATTTTCCTCTTCACTGCGGCACCAATGTTGAATACCTTACAAAGCCCCTGTGCTATGCATCAGTATTGAAACTACGAAACAGTCTACCTTTTAAAATTGACTACCAGTACTCCGTGTTAACTTTGGTTTCTTTCACAGCCCGGTACAACTGGTGAGCAGAAATCAAAACCAACCCAAAACAGTGTCCGCAGTCTCCGTGGTCTTGGTCTTTCTCCAGATCTTGTAAGTAGTTCCTCTTGTCTCTGTGCATGTGCTATGTTTTGCTTTGTTTTGCATTGCTGGACTCATTTTGCTTGAAGTTCACATTAGCTATGCTGACCATAGCTACATGTGTGTGGTGATATTTGAAATTGTGTTGTGCTCCTGTCTGTTTATGTGATTGCAGATCATGTGCCGCAGTCAGAATCCCCTGCAGCCGGGTTTGAGAGAGAAAATTGCTATGTTCTGCCACGTCCCACCCAACCAGGTATGCATTGGCTCAGACGTGTACAGATTTCCCTGTCTGGTGCGCGTGCATACATGTGCATGGCATGATACTGAGTCACCATTATCGAGCATGTACCAACAGTTTCTCGCCAAAGGCTGGGGCTGACCGATTTATTTCTATGTGTACTTCATCCTCTCAAGGTAATATCAGTATATGACTGCACATCAATCTACCGCGTGCCTATTCTTCTCGAGTCGCAACAAATCATTCCCTACTTCTCAAAACGTCTCGATCTGGAGATGAAGTCGCCCACGTCTCGCCGGCTCCTTTCCAAATGGGAACAACTTGCGGAGAGGTACGTATCGTGTCTGCGTGCGACTGCGTTTGTGTGCTGTGCTTTGTTGTGACGGCCTGGTGGCTGTTAGTGTTAGTATGCCCTTCACTTGAAGGCAGTCACTGATAGTGATAGGAATAAAAAGGAGATGCATGTTTCTGTAATCCGGGCCCGGAAGACAACTTCACATGGGATCGTTCGGCCAAGCTAGGGATGATGTTGCACTGTCAACATGATTCATTGTTCTCAACATTACTTTGTGGCTTTTATTTGCTCGCTGGTTCCTTCTGTACATGTGTGCAGACATGAGAATGTGAAGGACGTTGTTGCTATTGCCTTGGTCGGAAAGTACACCAAGTTCGAGGATTCGTACATGTCCGTCATCAAGGCGCTCAAACATGCCGCACTCTCCGAGAGCAAGCTCCTCAAGATTGTGGTACGTATTATGTTGCTCTTTGCTCAAGACTTGATTCTCCTGTAATCTTTGTTGCAAACCTGATTGCAGTTGAGCTGTCTCTGGTGAGCCGCTAAATCACCATGCCTGGCAGGTGACACAGAGCCTTCTTTTTCAGTGTGTACAAACGATTGCCCTGGTGTGTTACCAGCCACCTTGTCTGTGATCTCTGTGCATTGAGCTCCCGTTGAATACATGGTGCAGATAGTCTATGTTATGCTTACTTCATGGTCATGGTCTTGGTTTTACCTCTTTCACTCACCCTGCAGTGGATCGAGGCAGCGAACTTGGAGGAGGAGACATTGGAAAGCGATGCTCCGGCTTATTACGAAGCATGGAAGAAACTAAGCTCATGCAAGTAGGTCTTTCTCTCTCCCTCCCTGCATGCCGATGCGGACGTTGCCTCGCGCTGATGCTTGGCCGCGTTGATAGCATACCTGCAAACATTGTCGGTCAACAATGTGACAAAAGCGAGTTTGTGTGTGTGTGTGTGTGTGTGTGTGTGACCGGATGTGTGCATGTGCACTCGGTTCAACGATGCCGTTTAATGCTAGTAGTTTACAACTGTGTGTGTGTGTCCCTGTGTTGCATTGCCTCAGCGGTGTGCTAGTGCCGGGTGGCTTTGGCCTGCGTGGTGTAGAGGGCAAGGTATCTGCTGTGAAGTGGGCGCGCGAGCGCAAGGTACCCTTCCTTGGTGAGTTGAATCTACGCACTGTGGAAATTGTAGTCATTGGTGTTTCCAAATGTGTTCAGTATACTTGAATGCGTCGAATTTGGTGTGTAGGGAAATGTGGGAGATGAAAGGAAGTTTTCTGGCTCCGAATTTAGGCGAGATGTACTGCTTTGAAATATCCTCTATTGAGTTGTTAGGGCCCTGCAATTTTCACCTGCCAGTCCATTTCTATTGCTGTTACTTGTTGCCAGTCCTTTTTACCGCCGTCATGGCCATTTACATGTCACCATACTGATAGTAAGAACTGCTTACACTTCACTAGCAATACCCGAATGTATTTTTTCTAGCAGATAAAGAGAAGTTAGGATACATTCGCGTGGTGCTCTCTAGAAACTAAGAGGCTCGCGTAGTGCTCTCCAGAATCTTCGAGGCTCTTACTGGTGAAAAAAACCCATGACATTTGTACCCTAATCGTACCGTTCAACCCCATTGGTGTTAGTCCTCTTCCTCCTCATGATTACATGTGCTTTGAAGTACTGTTAAGCTTTTCCGGCAGTTAAAATGGCCCTTGGTTCAGTCACAGGAGGAATCGAGTTTGGGTGTGATCACTGGGAAATGTTTCTGTGCCTAACCTTCTGTTGTTTTTGTGCGTTTCTTCGTCACTGCTGTAGGTGTCTGCTTGGGCTTGCAAGCTGGAGTCATTGAGTTTTCAAGGAATGTCCTTGGCTGGACTGGTAAGATGATCACAATGGTGTTGCTTGATCTCTGCCGATTGCTGTTTGATTAAGTGTCCGAATGCAGTTCGATTTCTCCGTGCCAGCCACACATTCCGAGTGCCGTTTCCACACGATCTAATGAATGTGAATTTTGTTGTGTGTCTTTTCTGGTCATTGCTTGTCTGTGAAGATGCCCACTCCAAGGAGTTTGCCCCAGACACAGAACACCCAGTGGTAAGTGGAGCACACTTCACCTCACTTCTTTCCTTTTAGCTGATCAGCTGTGATCTGTTGGCCTGTTGCTGTCCCTTGTAAGCAGGACAGTTGGGTGAATTGGTATGACATAGCTCTTTGCTATCTATACTGTCGTGTTGGTTGTGCTCCTTGCGTAGATTATCGAGATGCCCGAGCATAACAACGGTGATCTAGGTGGTACAATGAGGCTGGGAAAGCGACGCACCATCTTCGTGCAAAAGGAATCGTCTATCATGTGTAAGTATTTATGCCACTGAAAAGTATTTGCAAGTTGTTGAATTGCACTGTCTATGGTGCTGCACATTGCGTGGCTACTGCCATACGTGGGTCCACGAGGTTCCGAGTCTCTTTGACTTGAAATGGGTGTTTTGTTTCTTGTGTATGTGGATCATTTTAGACAAGTTATATGGTCGATGTGAGTTTGTCGAAGAGAGACATCGCCATCGCTACGAGGTAAGCAACGTGGTATTTGACTTGCACATGTACACGAATTCGCAGTTGTACTCTTTGTCCATTGAACACGTTACATTGATTACTATAATATAATCCTGTGTAAAGGAGTCAGTTGTTCAGTATTCTCTGTGCTTTAGTCGTGTTAAAAGCACTGGTGTTGAAGAAGCTGTGGTGCATGTCTGGGTCCAAGAGTAGAATATGTAGGCGGGTGTGCTTAGAGGAGCACTGTATGTCAATGTACACGCACAGCCTTACTGCAAGTTGACCGCAGCATTTGCCGCTGGCTGTTGTCGAGTCCTGAGTGTTTGACTCCTTGATGTTACACATGAGCAGTGCTGACTTGGACTGCATGTTGTATTTATACTGCATTTTGCGTGCAGGTCAACCCTGACATAGTCAGTCAGCTGGAGGAGCATGGACTGAAGTTTGTTGGGCGTGACGAGGAAGGCAAGAGAATGGAGATCATGGAGCTTGAAGGTAGGCGGTTGCTTGGAATGCTACTTAGTCGGATGGGTGCTGCAGCCGCGATCGCTGCATATGGCTGACTCCTTGCACGGCTCTTGAATGTTGTCACGCCTACCGTGGATCTGCGGTACCCACACGTCACTTAGTGGAAAGCCCTAAGGGTTGGTTCACATAGGCAAAATCGGCGCCGCAAGACATCGGCGGTGAGCCAGCTCCCGATCCGTTGCGCATACGGTTTGAGTACCAAATCTACTACAAAGTAGTACAGAATGTGTCCTAATGCTACGACAGGTTTGCCACTTGAAGCTTGAATTCTTTGTTTCTTCAGTAGTTCAAGGTCTTTCGGTGATGGCCACTGGTTGCTACCTTTTACTGGAGATCAGGAAACTACTTCTACACATTTTATTGCAGTCTACAGTCCATTTCAAAACTATAGACGCGTAGGGTTTTAGAAATATTTCAAATTTGGCTGGACCTTTTTGAGAATAGTTTTCGGAATATTGCTCAGGATCGCTCCACAATTACTCTCATATAGTTTCTAAACAATTGGATAACAGACGCCCAATTTGGAAAAATTTATGCACAAAGTGATCACAGATTTTATGTGGTATAGATGCTGGCATAACGGTTTTTGCCTAGGTACGCGTCTATAGTTTTGAAATGGACTGTAGTAAGCAATGGTGTCGAAATTATGCATGCAAACGTTGATGAAGTCACAAGAATTTGCCAATGTATCCATCGTATTTTTTATTTGTTTCAACTGTATTTGTCTCATAAGTTGCACAACAGTCAAGCAGATCATCCGAAAAGGACGGGTTGGTATGCTGACTTATTTGCCACGTTGACGCGAGGGGCAAACGGTTTGGTTTGGTAAACCGTAGTACCACAAAAGAACAGCTGTAGGTTTGAGCCGACAGAACTCCCCAGGTAAAGACCAATAACGAAGGCTTCCGAGGTTGCCGTTCCATACTAGCAACTGTGCGGGTGTGGTTGCGCTCGGTGAAATCCTACCCGAAGTGCAAAGCTGGCGCCCTCGACCAGTTCTCAATACATCATTGTACTGTGTATTTGTATATGTCTACCTTCAGCCACATTCGTGCCACTTCCAGGGTGTCTAGGGCCGTGCAAGTTGGGGGTGCCAAATATGCACTCCGGGTCACATTTCACCAAGCGCAACTGTGCTAGTGCAATGTATGTCTTTTCCATCGCAGCCATGTTTTGCTGGCAAGCTTCCCCTCCACAAATTCCTGTAGATTGGTGGTTCTTGAACTGGCTGTTTCGAGGCGGTCTTTCCTTACCTGCTTTTCGTGCTCTGTGTGTGTATTTGTAGGTCATCCGTACTTCGTCGCCGTCCAGTATCACCCGGAGTATCTCACCAGGCCAGTGAAGCCATCCCCACCGTACCTCGGTCTTATCCTTGCTGCCAGTGGCCAGCTGCAGTCCACATGAATGAAACATCTAGTGGCCAGCTGCAGTCCACGTGAATGAAACATCTATCCTTGCTATCACTGTACAAAAGAGAAATAAATTCTCAATATAAATTCCCATGTAAACTAGGCCTCCTGCATGTAACACTCATGAAACTCAACCTTGTACAAAACATCTATCCTCTCAGTATCCCCCCCCCCCCCATGTAATAAAGCGCGCATGTTCACAGATCTGTTACCACTAGTCGTCCTCCGTTCTTCTCTGTGACTTCGCCTTGCGCACTTGGTCCGGTTCTTGTCATTCTCCTCTCGTTCGTATGTTTTGTCCTGTTGATTATCTGCTGTCCTCGTGAATTCCGCGGCAGAATATTAGAAATTCCGTGTAGAATTCTGCAACAACAAAAAAACACAGAATTTCCACAGCTGGTCGCACCGAATTTTGTTCTCCTTCAAATTTCTGGGTTTTGTGGACTGTGTTGAATCGCGGAAATCACGGAGCACAGCATCTGTTTCCGCGTCCTGATGTGGCTCTGTGCTCTCTCATCTACGATCTATATACACTGTACTGCTGATGCCATCATAGGCTGCTTGCTGACGACTTGATTTTTGAAGGCAGTGATTTTACGATACCTTGTTGGCGGTTTCTTTTGTGCCAGTCCTAGTTGTTTGATGCTACCAGTATTGAATCTGTTCAGCTCATGGAATAGTTCCCTATTCTCAATTATTGTGTACAACTTGATTCAATTATGCCAGTATGAGACTTGTTTAGAAGTCGCCGTTCATCTGCAATTTACTACATGTACTTTAATAATATGATTGTGATATTGCGCTGTACGTTATTGTGCTGTATAATCATGGCCAATGGCCAATCTTGCTGCAAGTGACATCTCGATTGCACATTTCTGCAAAGCTGGTTACAAACATGACCTATGGCGTAATTCTGGAAGTGTGTCGTAACTCGTGACAGCTACGCATGCTGTGTCTTGCATAGTTTTGGCATGGAATTCCTAGGAATGCAGATTTACCAGAAGGTATCGTATGCAATTACAGGAGATGAGAAGCTCTTTGTGCAAAATTCAAGTTACAGGCACTGTACTGAGTCTGTTGGCATACCGTTTTTCATGTCTCTGCATAGTTCTGTCCCCGGGGGAAATCGCGGAAGAAAACCTCAAAATTCGCAGCACAATTTGCGGTCAGTATTGGCACTACTCGCCGGGAATTTGTGACAATTTTGGAAATTTTCTGCAGGTGGAATGGCCAATCTTCTGGTTTGCCTGCCAGAAAACTACCTACTAGTATTTTCATCGAGAAGAGCGTGTGCCGTGTGTACATAAACCAGGGAGCAGTACGGTATTGTACTGCTCCCTGGTGTAAACAGTTATTATTATTTATTCATATTTTAATAGGGCATTCCCCACAGACTCAAGGTCTTCTTACGGGGTACCCTAAGAATGAAAGTAATGCATGGCGATGCAGCAGTGCGGATATCAGATGGAGCACTATTCCATCGGTCTGCAGCCAAATAAGAGAGAGAATAATAATAATAATTGCGATTTTCCCCAGGGGCAGACAGTTGCAACAGGTTTTCGATGCATGCGTGCAGTGGAGACTGTGCTTTTAGGAATTTAGAGGCCACATGCCTCGTACTGCTCTTTTTCTCTCTGAAACTCAACACTTGCAAGCCAGATACGAAAGAAAGAAAAAATCATCAGTCGCACCACTGTGCTTTTATTAGAGAAAATACGGTAGCCACTTGGTCCATCAACATTATCCACTAGATTCGTGATGACCAAGGACCATGATGTGTGTCCTGCACACTCCCGCCGTCTTATAACCGGCAGAGTTTACACTGGATCATGGATTCATGTTCAGGCAAGTGTCAAGTCTGTCCAGCTTGGACTGGCAACGTACTCAAAATTAATGCAACAACCGGTTCTCCGTGCATGCAGAACATACAATGATTGTACATGATTTGTCACGGCAAGTCTTGACACGTGCTTTTCAAGTGATTTGCACAACTGCTTTATTGTACTGTGAGTTGACAGCATGTTCCAGGGCACCGCCTTGGCTCCTATCCGCCTTGGAACAAGCTGTCAACCAAACAACGTGTTTTCATTCAACCAAGGCTTTACAGTTTACTCAGTGCTTGCTACCCACGCAGGCCTGCAGCGCTCCATCGATCCAGGCTTCATCCTCAAAACCATGAAAACAGGCAGTACGCTCGTACCGGTAGCTATCGCGTAGTTATCAGGCTTCCCAGGAAGCTATAAAAGGAAGAATTGAAGGGCTGAGCTGGAGTGCAACATTTTTTTTATTAGAGTCTGGCAAATACAAGTCTGTAGAGACAAGTCTTTTTTTACTTACTACTACTACCAGCTTAGCTGCTACTGACGAGCCCCTGCTCCTAACAGTTCAACAAGCCAGCCATCAGAGTAATTATGGCTGCTCAGCTCGCCCCGCTTGAAGGAATTCCCGATCCAGACCTACCTGACGAGTACGTCGTGATGTTCAAGGATGATGCGACCGACGAGGCCAAGGCCGACCACATTAGCACTCTGGCCGACAAAGGCTGCCCTATTCGCCAGGAACTGCGGATCATCAAGGCATATTACGCCACACTGACGGCGGAGGTGCTATTGTGGGTACGCCAGCAGCCGATAGTCAAACTAGTATCCCACAACCAGACTGCCACCATTGACGCTGGGATTTGAAAATTCTCAACTGGCAACAATTAGTCATTTTCGGAATGAAGCTTTTCACTGGCACGTGTTTTACTCAGCTTTGCGGCCTTCCTTTCACGATCACAGTACTGCAGTGTGAAGATATTTTGCTGCTTATTATGCCTATAAATAAAGTCGAAAGCCTTGGGTTGGGACCATGCCAGGGTCCATTTTACGAAAGCTGCAAATTTCTTACAAATTTAATCATTTTCAATAAAGATCAGGAATAGGTTTCTTCAAAGTAACAGGCCAAGTCTCTGTTTTATTTGTGCGGAACTGATGAACAGAGCCATGCATAGTTCATCATGTTTTTATGGCACAGCAGACGCATGCTACATTGTAATTCTGCGTCCTTTTCACTGGATTTTTTCAGTTACTGTTTTATCAGTAGGGGAGTTTGATCATCGTCGCAATGTGATAGGATGTAATGATTACTATACTTACCACTCTGACACTCTCCATGATGCACATGTTCATAGCATGTTTACAGCTGACCGTGATGGCGGTTATTTTTGCTAGGCGAGATAAATTACCGTATGATCAATAATATTACTGGTTTCCTGTGAGTGTATCTGCCCCCGGGGCAGTGCTGGGGGAATGACGAATTTTGACTAGCGGACTCCTATACAGTCTACTAATTATTTCGCTAATAACGACTGCGGATATAACGACAATTCGCGGATAATGACAGAATGTCCATGCCCAGAGCAATGTCCCATCTAACTGTAATACAATGTATTACATCATCTCCATCGCTTACATTGTTAATAAAGTAATCCAAATGTCACTTCAGCTCGTCCTACTTATTGCCATAATTATTAAAATTGCTGTCTCCTCGTCGAATATTTATTACAGTCAGATTGGACATTATAATAATAATTATAATGAGACTTCGGGTATAAGGACACTTAGCGAATAAGGACACTTTTCTGATGCCCCGCCGAATGTCGTTATACGCAAAGTTGACCGTAATTATGGGAATTGAATTAATGGGCAGTTGTCACACTGAGTGATGACATCTGGCTAACGAGGTAACTGTACCTGTATATGGGTAGTGCTGTTACTGTATCATGAGGCTTTGTGGTAGTTCAAGTTACTCGGGCTGGTGTACAACACTTGTTATCATGATGAAAACTACATGATTGTAGTAAGGTCCTCAGACACCAGTTTTTGTAGATCAACGCCTACTTTCGTGCCTTTGCACCCGGCCCCGGGGTGCAGACAAGCAGCGGCCTATTCAACAAAAGATAAGAAGAGCCGGCCTCTGTCTTCTTCCTGCCGAGTTGACTTTAAAAGGATGAGAAGGCAGAAAACTCTTTGGTAAATAATAATAAAACTCGTGCCCCTTTTCGAAAGCGTGAAGAGAAGCAAAGCAAGTTTACCACTGAGACATGATAAGCCTTTTCTGCTGCTGCAGCTTGGCAGGAATACTCCCAAACCCTCTCAGCATTCACCGCTGTGGCTGAGCTTCGAAAGGCCTCACCATAAGCTGAAGGAACAGACTTATCTCTGACAGAAACCGATCAGAACACAGTTTTTAATAATACTTGTAGATACTGCAATGCAATGATCCTGTGCTGTCCGCACGGTCCGATTCAACAAGGCGCCTAGGCACGGCCGGGATACAGCAACTATTACTTGAATCACAATCTTGGTAAACGGCAATGGTCAACCCAGAGCAGCAGCAGTAAATGTTAGACGAGCTGTATCAGCAGCAGCTTAGACAGAAGGAATTCGGACAGTGTACTTGCCAGAGTAGAGAAGGAGAATCTGTCAGTCAATGGTCTGCTAAACGTGCGTCAGGCATGGCCATGACAAAAAAAGTCCAAAGTATTATTGCCCTATAGCTGTGGTATGTTGGGTACAATTGGAAATTCGGTCGGCGGCACCCAGTTGTGATATCTTACCTTGTGGCTAAGTGCATCTTAGCAGCCACCAATTTTGAACTACGCAGCACAATAGTCCGTGCCAGCCATTCATAACGCACAGATACCGGTGTGTCACACAGTGATCCGCTACCTAGGCCTGCATACGACTGTTCAAGACTATTGGCTGCAGGGAAAACTCGTCACTGAACAGGTTGAAGACGCCAGCCACAAAACTCACCGTGATATCCGTAGTTGGATTCAAGTGTCACTAGTACTTTGCTCAGCACTCTCGCTTTCTTGTCCGATGTGTTCTTCCTGTGGGCTGTCTTCCTTCGAATGGTCCTCTTCCTCCTGATTAGCATCACCAGCGCTACTATCATGATCAGCCATATTCGTATTTTGGCTACGGGGTACAGTGAAAACAGCACACGATGCACGAGCTGGAGATTTGTCGGGAAAGGCGTAGTCTGGATCCTCAGGATTTCTGGCCACAAATGATCGTCTTCTTGGATCTAGGCCGGCCGCGCTGGTATCGCCACCAGCCCACGAGGCACGCTTCGTGATACTGCTGCCGGCCTCTTGTGAGCCATCTGCGTTCAGCATCCGCCTGAGCATATCCTTTCTGGTATCCTCCTTCACCCGGTACGGCTGCACTTGCGGCCCACGTTTCCTGGGCATAACGCCAGCGCGTGCCTCGCCAAGAGAAGCATAGGGATTCTCCACCTGACTATCAGCAGTGTCAATCAAGCCACCTTCATTCGCCTCCGAGTAGAGATTCTCAGCGGAGCTAGCTCCACTCGCAAAACGATGTGGAGGCGTGCGAGCGTCCGTCTTGGCAGCATCCGCTTCTTTGATCTCCTGCTCACGCTCCGGCGATTCTGCAACTTGAGCGTAAACAGTTTCAGATGTTACGGCTTCAGGAGCACCCGCTCCTTTTGTCTCCTTTTTATGTTCCGGCGATTCTGCGACTTGAGCGTAAACAGTTTCAGATGCTACAGCTTCAGGAGCATCCACTTCCTTTGTCTCCTTTTTACGTTCCGGCGATTCGGCGACTTGAGCGTAAACAGTTTCAGATGCTACAGCTTCAGGAGAGGTGCTTGCTGGCACTTCTTCCTTGACATTGTCTGTCCTTTCAGGCGGTGCAGTTTTATTGCGGGCACGCGGAGGAGCAACCGGCTTTTTCAGTGGTGGGCCATCAGGAGTGTCATCCGTTTCCAAATCAAGAGCAGGAGATGAGTTCCTGGATTGGCGGTGAGAGGCCGGCACCACCGGAGCGATCACGGGCTGCAGCTGGTACTTCTTGTCTACATCCAATTCTACAGGTGGTCCCCTGCTGTCGTTTCTAACAAACGCAATCGAGTTGTACGGGTTTTCAGTCTGTCCAGCGTCCACTGGGTGGTCAGGACTGTCCTCTTTCAAATGAATCGTGTCCCAGGGGGAAGTAGGTGCTGATTCACTGACTTCCGGGATAGTCCCTGGTGTCGGAGGAGCAGCCATACTTTCATCCAGGTCAACGGTTGCTGCATTGAAAAACCCGAAAGATGAAGTTCCAGCTCCCGGTGTAACTCCATTTCCATTAGGAGTCCCCTACAAAGACAGGACACACGCATCAAACAAAGTCCTGGGTTGGACAATGGAAATGTTAGCAAAACCGTTCATAGTCATCAGGTACATGCTCAATACCAGTGGGTATGTCCACGTCTGCTCGTGTTTGCGGTTTGTCTTAGTGCATAGCCCGCTGTATTTCTCACAGTACGTTTTCAGCTAAAAAAGAAACTTCAATGCGATGTGCTTGACCAGTCACTTTGAGCACCACTGATGAGATGTAACGTCACCCTCTTGTAAAGCGTTGTTGAATATTGAGTATGTACTAGTATGCGTGCATGGACATGTGCCGCTGAGTACAGATACAACATGTGTGTGTGTGTGGGGGGGGGGGGGGGCAGTAATGCTGGAGAAATTCTTGCTCTGCGATGTGCCAACGTCTGTATTTCCATTTCCAACCATTTTAATTATCGCCACTGAAACCTGATGCCAGATTAGGGGCCTGTAGTCCTTGCCAAGTATGCACACACACCAAGCTGAAGGCTGACACCTGGCTGACCCTCACCCTTAGATCACCCTGCGATCCTTGCTGGAAGGTTGAAGCAAGAGAGGAGTCGTGTCCTGTGGAGGACAGTGCAAAGCAAAGCATGTACTAGTACGAGATGTAAGTAGATGCAAGCCCATTACCATCAACAAGGCAACTTGTTTTGCTGAGCGTGAACTAGATACTGCAGAGAGATTCTTTGCCGCTGCTTGGTCCGAGAAAAAACCAAAGCCCAATAAGTCAGGGGAAGAGCTACTAGTTGCTGTTACACTCACTGATCCTTATGCACAGATATACAGCATTCCCTCACTAGTGGGACCATTGTTATTAGGCTAGGGCCTGTTTTGGACTTCCCACTCTAAATAAAGAATACAAACAACAACAAAAAGTCAAAGGGCCGGGTAAATATGCGCATTTGAAATGATAACATGAAATAGGACGCACGTCTACTGTTGACATCTTTTAGCAACTGAAAGATGAACTAAACAGAAAACAAGAACAACCGAATGAATCTGCATTTAAAGTAGGGGTGTCAACGAGTAGTAGGGTACCCGTGCAACCTGTAATTTGATCGGGTAGTAGGGTAGCAATTTGCTCCTGAGAACCCGATCGGGTAGTTGAAGTACGGTGTTTTCGCAACGGTGCATATAAACAGCATGACGACATGCTACTGTACACTTTCTATGTAGCGCAAGTGCACACTCACAGTACAAACTGTGTCAAAAAATACCCGATAGGGTACCCGTGCTACCTGGATAAAAATACCCAGACCCGTTACCCGACCAAACCCCGGGCCCTACCCGTTACAGCCCTAATTTAAAATACGGTAATGCCTGGTGTACGGCATTTTCCGTTACCCCATCAGTGACGTCTACGGGTAATTACCTTCAATGAGTGTCAGGAAGTTATCTTGAGCTGTGTTGGACAGCACACCAGCAGACTGTGGAAAGTTGTAGGCCGGCACAGGATCTACACATTGACAGTGGAACATGGTAATGGACATACGTAAAAGGCGCGAATCAGCACAGCAGCGGATGAGGACAGTCTGAGATAACTCCTCTAGTAGTTTCATGTGCTTAGTAATCTTCAGGTGATGGCTACATGAGAACTCATCAGGTGATGGCTACATGAGAACTCATCAGTATAGGAGGGTATGCTACGCTAACTCTGGCCGGGCGAAACTAAGTCGTAGTACTTAGAAGAAGTATCAAAGATGCTCATGACTGTACAGATCCTACAGTACAGTCGCGCACCCAAGAACTTTGTATCCAAGGGGTTAGCCTGGGACGTTCATATTTTGTCAGCAATCTGGCTGCGTTCTCATAGCACGTTCTTCGAAACAACCAGTCCTGGATCATATGTATCCCATAAGCTGCCAGAAAACCAACACCGCCGTTCTCAGCTTTAGGCTGTGGCGTTCTTAGAATTTCAGGCTGCACGTTCTTGGGCTCCACGTTCTCAAGTTCAGCGCGTGACTCTAACGTTACTGTATATCATTTTACCTAGAACATCAACCCTAGGCTTAACCATGTATTAAAACCCGCCGCACATTACTACCCATCGGAGCACAGAACAAGACCACAGTCATACCGCATGCAACTAGCTACACAAGGCTCCCGTATCCAGGGTATACGACTTGAAGCCGCACTTCATTCGATCTTGGATCTAACGTTTCCGTCTTAGTCCTATGGGGCCACCTTATCAAAGTGGTTGCGCCTTGAAATGTCCTTGCATCATAAACTTCAGCCATATGTTGGTAGCACGTCAACTGCAGCCATGTCCACGTGTGGGTGGCAACTGAAAGCTACCAGCAGCATGAAATGTCTGTCTGACAGCAGCACTAATTACACCTTAACCCACATATGCGCTCTACACATACAAACAACCATACAGGCACACACTTGCACACACCACACAGGCGCACACACTAACGCGCACACACACACACACACACACACACACACACACACACACGCACACACGCACACACGCACGCACACACACACACACACACACACACACACACACACACACACAAACTAACACACACACAGTGACACACAAACTAACACACACACATATACCGTAATGTAGCGTATTAAAGCCGGGCTTATTCCTGTAGAAGCCGATGCCAGGGATAGGCTTCTATTCACATCAGGCTTCTATTCACACCCGGTAGGTATTTCTATGTATGTCAACACTAAAACCAGGCTTATGTGCCGACAGTGAATCTCGTGCACATAGTTATGCCTTCGCAATAATCACACACACATACACATATATAGATATACACACACACACACACACACACACACACACACACACACACACATACACACACACACACACACACACACACACGCATATACACACACACGTGACACACACACGTGACACACACACACACTCCACCACCACCACGCCACCACCACCATCATCATCACCACCCTAACCACCATCCTTACTATCCATTACGTCCACAGCACCCTTCAATTCATCGAGCGGTTCTGAAGGAGCATCAAAACACAATCACAGCACAATCAAGACAATGCTTCGCGTGAATGGCTATGTACAGCAGCCAGGCATTCTTGCTAGGTCTTCTGCTGCTGACTTTGGCTTGGATCGCTGTAGTCATACCAACACTGTAGACATGGCAATGCTGCATCCATAGCAAGTATTACTCCCGTGATGTGCCTATAGATGGATTCGTGGGCCATGATAACATAGGGCGAGTTGGCAAAGTCTGTTCTGGCATGTTACAACTAACTTTGGACATGTTGGCATGCTGAACAAGTTGAGTGACACCAATCTGGCACATGCGCAGTTCACACAGTCCATTATGTTAGGAGTGGCGTTTACACATGTCACTGGCTGGACCATGCCATTCAGAGGTCATAATATTATTACTCTTTAAAAGCACAGAAAGCACCAGTCTTCCTCTTTGCCACTGACATGTGTGCAGGGGTGGTGCAGGGGTGTCGGACACGCTACGGTCACTACGGTATTGACCGTACCACTTGTTGTCCCCATGCGCCCCATAATCAATCAAAAGCACTGATTCGGACTCTAAATAGGATGCTTCCATTGATGCTGACTCAAACTTGAGTAGTTGATGTGTCTCCGGCATCAAATGACACAAGACACAAACGGAGTAACACATACAATTATTCCCGTAGCTATGCAAAAGACGTTACTTCAGTAACGTCTGGCGCTAGCCAGGGTCCACACAGCTTTAATTCCGTGTTTGTTGGTTTGTTTGTCTGTGCCATCGGCATGCCTGGCGCTATCCCGTACCTGACCCGTATCGTACCACCAAGGACAGCATCGGCATGCCTGGCGCCATCCCGTACCTGTCCCGTACCGTACCCTCAAGGACAGCATCGGCATGCCTGGCGCTATCCCGTACCTGTCCCGTACCGTACCATCAAAGACAGAGCTGGCCACAATATTCAAATATGGCTTTCAAATGCAAGGTTATAACGTGAAGCAACTTGGAAGAATGAGTACGTATGCGAAGTGTATTGGGGGAATGCATGCAGGGCGATAGTGCAGATTCGAATCCTAAGTTATGTCTTAAAGGGGAAGTATACCCTAAAATCAAATTTTCACCAGTTGTAGTCTTCGGGGTGCTGAGTCGAATGGTCTTGGTCCGAGGAAGCTGAGACGCTCCTTTCCTCCTTTATTCCCAATCGAACTCGCGCACTTCCACCGAAACTGGGTGACTGCGCCCTACGAGATGGGGATTTGTATGCAAAATGTCACTAAAAGCGCCATTTCGTTCTTATAAAAGCACGGATGACCGCGATTGGCCCATATGTTGTAGTCTTTTCGACGCTGAGTCGACTGGTTTTGGTCCGAAAAGGCTGCGATGCAGCAATCCTCCTTTATTCCCAATCGAACATGGTTGAACAAGCGGTCACGTGCTCCTGCGTACACCAGTCACCTGGTCACCGTGCCTGCAGGGTACAACTTACTAGCCTGTTTGACCTTTTTTGGGTGCAGTCACTGTCACTCGAGTTGAACTCGAGTTGAACCTTGGTGTGAAAGTTGTCGCCTGCTGGCGCGGTGACCAGGTGATTTGGGCACCCAGGAGCACGTGACCGCTTGTTCAACCATGTTCGATTGGGAATAAAGGAGGAACGCTGCATCGCAGCCTTTTCGGACCAAAACCAGTCGACTCAGCGTCCAAAAGACTACAACATATGGGCCAATCGCGGTCATCCGTGCTTTTATAAGAACGACATAGCACTTTTAGTGACATTTTGCATACAAATCCCCATCTAGTAGGGCGCAGTCACCCAGTTTCGGTGGAAGTGCGCGGGTTCGATTGGGAAAAAGAAGGAAGGGAGCGTCGCAGCTTCCTCGGACCAAGACCATTCGACTCAGCACCCAGAAGACTACAACTGGTGAAATTTGATTTTAGGGTATACTTCCCCTAAAAAAAATAGGAGAAATGAAAAATTTATAACATCCCTAGCAGAAGGAAGTTTGCCTCCTTGTATAACATCCCTATGCTTTTTTTGCCTAGGTCATCAAGGTGGTAGACGGTGTCGTATTACCATCGAATGCAAAGAGAAAGTTGACTCTCGCTACGCAAAAAAGAATAGCTTAGGGCCCTGAGCTTCCAAGCTCTCTCGTTTGTTTAGCTTCTGCTGTGATAATAGCATTGCCCGCAAAACCATTCTCCGGAGCCAGAGAACCCATGGCCGACATGTGGGCTCCTGCATGGTAATCCTGTGCGCACTAGCTTATGTGGGGAGGGAGGCAACCAACTCTGTACTCATGGTACCCTGCAGCACCGCATCTCAGCTCGGGCTCTTCTAGATTTCCAGCTCCCACACTCACAGCATGGGTGTCACAGGGCAGTGGGGAGGGGTGCGACCGGGTGCGGGGTGACCCTGGGGGAAGACATGGATTTTTCGGTCAACAGGGTACATTTTAGCGCTCTACATGTATACAGGCGCTCCGGCCAGCTGGGCAGACCATCCTGGACAAAACGTGGCACACTGAACCATGTTCATACCGAGTGTGACCGCCCTGCACAGTGAGTGCATGTAGTTTTCTTCTTCTCTGAAGGCCGTTTCTAGCTCTTGTACTTCAAATTACATATACTAGTGGCTCTTAAACGTAGATACCATAGCAGTTGCACATACAACACACATGCTTACCGAGTAACTTGAGGTTCCTCAAGGCACGGGCAAGCGACGAGTATGTTCCCAGTGTTGTGTCACGCCATGTCTTTAGACACA